TTTATTCCCCTCCACAGTGCCCAGAATTAAACTGTCTGCAGCTGGCAAAGATCATGCCCCTGCTAGTGCACAAGACAATCATAGTCAACAGCTGTGGGCAAACTGAAGCAGCCCCATATCCCACACCTGGGATTAAAACAAAAACATGTTTACATAACTGGGTTTAAGACATCAAATTCTCATGTAGGGAATATTCATTGAAGTACTTTAAGAAAGAATGAGAATGTAAAACCACTAAGAAATATGTTCAACAGCTTTAGTATTCTAGGTCTTTCCATAAACATCTGAAATTTGATAGCATGTTTCAAGTAACTGAACAAACATCCACCAGATGATAATTACTAACATAGAAAAGTGAATTTGGCTGTTCTATTTGATTTTAGAATATGATGCCGTGGCTGAGAAAGCTGGTAAAGTAGAAGCTGAGGTTAAACGGCTACATGATACCATCATCGAGATCAACAACCAAAAACTCAAGGCCCAACAAAATAAACTTGACACAATAAACAAGCAGCTGGATGAATGTGCTTCTGCTATTACTAAAGCTCAAGTAGCAATAAAGACTGCTGACAGGTACTTCCCCAAGGCTGCCCACACCCACTACCTCAACATTGGGATATCATAACCCAGTTATTCAAGGCATAGACATTTTGTTTCTCTGCGCAGGGAAGATGTAGTAGAGCTAGGGCTTGACCGAAACAGGAAGTAGTAAGAACAAGCTCTACAACAAATCTTTCACACTGAAGATTAATTTTTTAATTTATATTATCTGTTGAATCATTTGGCTGAAAGGAGTAAGTCATGTTAAGAGTAGAAAGTATGCTTAAGAGGGAAAAAAAATCCAACTTGGGCCTGAGCATGTAATTATAAACATAAAAACCAAGGATGGTTCAATAAATCAGTTGTTTTAAAATCACACTGAATGTATTTGCTTTTTTAGAAATCTTAAAAAGGCACAAGATTCTGTTTTCCGCACAGAGAAAGAAATAAAAGACACTGAGAAAGAAACAAATGATTTAAGAGCAGAACTAAAAAATATTGAAGACAGTGCAGAAGAGGTCATAAAGGATACAAAAGCTGCAGAGGTAAGATTTGTTTCTGCATCATGAGTAGGAGACATTTGAAGCAGTTAGTGTTGGTTGTAAGTTATGTTTTTCTTAACTATGAACTTAAAGTGTATTACAAAATGAGAACTCTGAATTAAAGTGGGACATGACGAATTCCTAACAATGTCTATAATGTAAAAATACCTGTTTGACATGTGCAGATATGGTCTTTGTCACACTTACTCTTCGTTTTTTAGAAGTCCTTACCAGAAATCCAGAAAGAACATCGTAATCTACTTCAGGAACTAAAAGTTATTCAAGAAAATGAACATGCACTTCAAAAAGATGCGCTTAGTATTAAGTTGAAGCTTGAGCAGATAGACGGCCACATTGCTGAACATAATTCGAAAATAAAATACTGGCAAAAAGAGGTGAGGTTAATGCCATTTAATTAATTTTAGACCTTCTTGAGCTGGAGAGAGAGCTCCTATAGAAAACCACAGGTTTGATTCCTAGCATCAGGTTGCAGATCACAACAGTCTTACAGGGAATCCAGTGTCCTTTTCTGATCTCCAAGGACACCAGTACGTTATGTACAATGGCTGTACATAAATACTTTTTGAAAAGTGAAAGCGTTTTATTTTTTTAGGGGTGGCTATCTTTCTAGTTTTTTAGGTATATTGTGATTCTTAATTTCATAGTCACTTTTCAGGTGTCTGAGGGTTATGATAGACTATAATTATTAAATGCATAGAAAATAGTAATTCTTTGAACAGGCTCTCACCCCAGAGCTTATGTGGAAAGTGGTAACTTGTTCCTGTATTATTTTTGTAGCCATCATTTCTTCATGTTGGTGTTTGTGGGAGCTGGAGAGATAGCCCAGTGGTTACGAACCTTTCTTCTCACATTCACGATTAGGTTCTCAGCCACCCATATTACATGACTGCTCTCCACCAGCTCGGCAGGATCTGGCACCCTCTTCTGGTATCTATGGCATCTGCACAGATGGCATGTACAGATAAAAATAAACTCAACTGTTTTTATCTCTTCCCAATTCTCCTTAGATTTCAAAACTAAAATTGCATCCTGTAGAAGATAAGCCTGTTGAGACAGTCTCAGATCTAAGTGCAGAGGATCTTGAGGCAATCAAGAATCCAGATTCTATAACAAATGAAATTGCACTTTTGGAAGCTCAGTGTCATGAAATGAAACCAAATCTTGGTGCCATTGCAGAATATAAAAAAAAGGTATGAGTGAATTCTAATAGAAATTTTGCTTAGCCTAAATTAGGATCTTTAATTTTGCATAATGAGCAATGCTAATTTTCAGATTTGTATGTGAAAAAGGGTTTGTTTGTTTTTTATAATTCAGGAAGAATTATATTTGCAAAGAGTAGCAGAACTGGACAAAATTACTTCTGAAAGAGATAATTTTAGACAAGCATATGAAGATCTTCGAAAACAAAGGCTGAATGAGTTTATGGCAGGTTTTAATGTTATAACAAATAAATTAAAGGAAAACTACCAGATGCTTACTTTGGGCGGGGATGCTGAACTGGAGCTTGTGGATAGTTTGGATCCTTTTTCTGAAGGAATCATGTTCAGGTTTGTGAGATTTTAATCTTGCATGTTTTCCAAGTTCTTAATGTTTCTTGGGAGTGGGTGTGAAGGTTAAAACTACTTTTATGTTTGGTAATAAATACTAACATGGTTATGTATCAAGGTTTACAGCATAAAATATGTACAAAGTGTGTTATATAGTATCTAATCCATTTATAGTCAAAGCCAGATTTAATAATGCAAACATCTATAGTCCCAGCATGCCCCTACAGGGAGATGGGAACAGATAGAGAAACTCACCTACCAGGTAGCCAGGCTTGTGCAACAGTGAAATGACTGTCACAGACACTGCAGATAGGCCTCCATCATCACCATTTTTTTTTCTCCGAAATTGGTTAAGAGAAACTAACTAGTAGCTAGCCTACTGTACAAATCCTGAAATTCTAGTAGATGTTCCTAATCTCCTAAACTAAAGTAGTTTAGTAGGAATATCTACTAAACTAAGTAAATAAAAAGTGGCCAGGCCATTAGGTGTGTACAGGTAAGCCAGCACCCACTGGTTTTAGGCAGGAGGGGGTCACAGCTTTTAAGTCATTCCGTACTGAAATCACCCTGTTCAGAAAACCGAAATCTAAAATACTAGGACTTGTGAAAAGCCACTCACAGGTTTAGCAAGGAAAAAAGTAGTTGCTGATATTTATGAGAAACACTTCATATTAGCCTTAGTTTTTACAAGATACTTGAGTAACATTTTTTAATTATTGCAGTGTTCGACCACCTAAGAAAAGTTGGAAGAAGATCTTTAACCTTTCAGGAGGCGAGAAAACGCTTAGTTCATTGGCCTTAGTGTTTGCTCTTCACCACTACAAACCCACTCCCCTCTACTTCATGGATGAGATTGATGCAGCCCTGGATTTTAAAAATGTGTCTATTGTTGCATTTTACATATACGTGAGTAAATCTTTGCTTTTAGGATTTTCTCCCCCACCCCCATGTCTTGTGGTATTAGACAACAGCTTCCAATGTTTTTCATTTTGGAGAGGTAAAATGTGAATTGATATTTGTCAAACTGCCAGATTTTTTTTCTACTATGCTTTTTCTAAAAATACCAAAATTCCTCAGTCTCCATGCAGTCATTACTATCATTTATGTTAGAATTAACTGCACACAAACGTTGGAAGAGGAGTAATGTTTGCGTATTTATTATGACGTACTTTTTTTTTCTTTTCTTTTCAGGAGCAAACAAAAAACGCCCAGTTCATAATAATTTCCCTACGAAATAATATGTTTGAGATATCAGATAGACTTATTGGAATCTATAAAACATATAATATTACAAAAAGTGTTGCAGTGAATCCAAAAGAAATTGCATCTAAAGGACTTTGTTAACTTGTCAATATTTTTTTTTATAATTTACCTAGCTTTGGTGTTTCTGTCTGTAAAAGATCATGACTTGTATAAAATGTTTCTCTAAATTGTATGACTGGTGGTTTCTCTTTTATTAGAGTCATGGTGTCTTTCTAAGAAATTGTATGTTTCTGTGTTATAAAAGTGAGGGGTCTGGCTTGTTTGCAAATAGGGAGTGCTATTGTTGGTCAGCCATAAAAAGCACAGTTGTTCTGTGTTGACCACCTGACCTCAAACACTGGATTCTTCTGCCATAATAGGTATTACAGGTATTCCACCATCTCAAATTCTGTAATCCTGGGGTCATAGAGGCAGACAGGATCATCCCTGAGGATTATGGGCTGTCTAGGTAGGCTAATCCATAAACTAAATTCAGTGGGGGAAGCAAATGTTTACATGTCTAAATAATCTTGTAGGGCAGGAACACCCCAATATACTTACTGTATTGCCTAAAGAAATATTGTGTTCTCCAGCACAAGATCACTAGGTGCTCTTCCTAAGGTCCTGAGTTCAATTCCCAGCAATCAATCACATGGTGTCTCCCAACCATCTATAATGAGATCTGGTGCCCTCTACTGGTGTGCAGGTGTACATGCAGATGAACACTGTACACATAATTTTTTTAATGTTATTCTAGTAGAAATAAGTTGGCAACATTTTCAGAAGAAATTCGAATTTAAGGGCTGCCATTACCATGCTTGGTGGTGCACAGCTTTAATCCCAGCACTCAGGAAGTTTGAGTTTGAGGCCAACAAGATCTATGTAGTATGAGTTCCTTTTTATTAAATATATAGGAATATGTCTACCACCATTGGTCATGATTCGTAATAAAAACGCTATAATGTAAATGCATGTCAGTATGCTACAAATATGCCTATAGAAGTAGAAGTGAATTAAATTACAAGTGAATTAAATTACGTTTTAATAACTAGTATATTCAAAGCTAAGTTTTCAAGAAATAGCCAGAATCCAACCATTTTCTAAGCCATTCAATAAAACATCAAGTTTATTAAAATATATTGTTACACATAAAACCCAGAATTCCCAAACATGTACTTTAAATTGCATAATCTCAACCTCCTGGTAAAAATATAAAGCAATACTTAATTACTCTTTCCAGACAACGTAAAAGGTGGTTTGTGTACTAAAAATTGTCAAGCCTATAAGGTAATACTCATGTGCTTTAGGCTGAAATTATAAGCATAATATACAAAGAATGAGTTCTTCCACCTGCTAATATGGCACTTCATTGTTTTGTTTCCTCATCTACACAAAGTTTTTAACCCCTTGAAAAATGTCTTAGCTAACATTATTTGCTAATATTTATACCGAAAAATAGTGCTCATGATGTATGTATCTGTTAAGAACTGAACTTCATTTTCTTTCACCTCTATTAGTAGTGGTGCTGGATAAAATCTTGATGCTGCTAAGTGGACCTGATGACAGTGATAAAACTTCACCTTGAACACAGCTTTTATCTATAGGGAATCAATAAGTGTAATAGTATTCCCTAATCAGATCTTTGAAATGAGGTCCCAGAGGTGGTGATTCTAACCCATTTGGAGTTTCTGGAAAACAAATCAGTTTGTGTTCAAGTTTTCAATGGTAGTGAACCAAAGTTCTACTGCAAACACTGTTGCTAGTCCCTGTTAAGGGAGCAAAATTAATGGTTCTGACTTAATGAGCTCTTTATAGTGTCTCATACTTGTAATTTCAGCACTTAGGCTATATTTTAAGACAAATATAGGTCACATGATATCAAGTGACTCACATCAACACGATTGTCCTAATGTTCATGTCTCATAGTTTTTATCTGCGAACAAGACTAAAACTTTACAAAATCAAAAATACATACTTGTTTTGCTTTGTGATGCTGGAGCCAGGAGACCAGGCAGGGGCTCTGGAACCAGGCCTTTTTGGTTGGTTGGTTTTGAGACCTCACTATATCCAGGCTGACAGTGACCTTCAGCCATTAAACTCAGCGTACTAGACACCTAATTTATCCAAAAGTAGTAGTGCTATTGGGGATGAATGCTCATTCAGATTTGACCAAAAAAAGACTTGAGCAATCCTGGCCCAGACATTTAAAACTACCTTTACCACCTCCATCTATATATTGAAAAGCTTCAAATCACATCAAAATAGCCATGTGGACCCCAAGGATCTTGTCTTTTTATTTTTTTTTTTTAAGATCTACATATACATAGAACTGCAAAGTTAACCACTGTAGCATGTAACAAAAAGTCCTTGTTAAACAGAATATTTAAAACACTATCAAGCCAATAAAAAACAAGGTATTAATATTTGAACCAAAATTTAAAATTTTCTAATGATTTGAATTCTCTTTCAGATAATGTCTCATTTCTTACAGCATTTCTACCCAACCATGGAAAGTTTGTCATATTTCTATATATTCATTGTAACTATAGTTGCTACTACCCTGACTTTTCCATCTAGGAATGGTTAGCCTCTGCTGTACAGAATAAGACCACTTAAAACTGTTGATTGAGGTTTTCAACGAGAAACTATTTTCCACATGAATTCCTTTAGCAGATCCAAAGTGTAACATACCATATTTTTAAAGTCATATAAATTCTTAGATAAACTTTGGTAAATAGACAGAGAGACTTCAGAGAAACATAATGAAGTGATTTCATTTAAGAAAGTTATTATGTAATGGTTGAAAAAGAGTATCAACATTAATATCACTGAAATTAGTGAAACTATAACAATGTTTAAAATTTTAAAAAATTCTATTTCTTTTTCATCCTTATCAGGCCAGGAACATGGCATCCTTTTTGAAGAAATTTTCATTTCAGGAATGACAGCTTTTTTAATATGTCCAATTTCTGTTCTGCTCCACTCTTCTTGTAATACGTTGCTTACTCTGGGATAAATTTCAACCGGCTGAACCTCAGGAAGTGGTCTTTCTTTCAGCATCTGCACGCGTTGGCGGACATCGTCAATTTTTTCAAGAAATCTAAGTGGAGACTCATCTTGTAAAGATGTAGTCTCTGTCAGTAACTCAAGTTGTTGTTCCCTTATCTCTTTCACTCTTTCAATCTGTGGAGTGTATTCTTGATTAATCATCTTGCCAACATCACAGAGAGCTGCCAAAAATATTTTCTTTTTCTGTTCTAATATATCAGTAAGCTCCTTAAAATACTGCAGAACGACTTCCTTATCACCTTGAACCATTTTCTCAGAATGACATTTTTGTTCTTCAAGCTTTTCAATAAGACGTGTAATATCTGTCCAGTGTGTGTCGGTTAACTGTTTAAACAATTTCTGAGGTGTATCCTTTTCTTTCAGATAGGCACTCTGAAGGTCATCTATAGGATGGCCATGATGTTGGCCTATAGTAAGACAATGGCCACAAACTAATTTTTTATCTAATAGACAATAAACATTTAATGGTTGCCTGAAATGTTCAGGGCAGGTGACAACATCTGGGTGGTCTTCTTGCTGGTACTTTTCAATAATTGCCCTTAATGCAAAATTTACAGGCAAGGATTCTATGCCAGTTGAAGCAATTTCAATAATACTTCTACAGTTAGGACACTTGAGTGGAATTCTCAGAGGTCTCCATATGTACAGGTTACCGGAAGCCTGAAGAACATTTTCCAAACAGTTTCTACAAAACGTATGTGAGCATGGCAGTACACGAGGATCTTCAAAGATACTATAACAAATGGGACACGTTAACTCGTCCTCAAAATTGTGCATTTCCTGTTGAAACAACAAAAGCATTTAAGTCTACATACGGCATACATTATGTAAGGTTTTAGGCACAACCTTCAAATTAGTAATACACAGCATCTGCCATTTAAAAGAAAAGCACTGAGATTTCTTTGTAATTCAATTCTTCATACATACTTCTTAAAAGTTTAGTACTTTCCAACAAAATCCCAACTAATTTGTAATAAAAATGCTCCAAATTAGTCAAATTGGTTAAAATTCAGTTAAAGTCTACTTAATAATTACAATTATTCTATGTAACTCCTTATATTCCAAGATACCAGAGTAAAAACTGCACATGTAATGAATAGGCAAGACTAAATAAACATTTGTATAGCATCAAGCCTAGCAAAATCATTCAATTTAAGGGAGAAAATGTACTTGCTCATTTTTTTCTGGGATAAATGCTAGGGTTGCAAGCATCACAACCAGCTCATTCATAGCTTCTTACAACTTATATTTATTTAGGTTCTCTAGAAGTTGTTAATATTAACATCAGCATAATAGTAATTCCTATTTTTATCTTTTCCCTTTAGTTGTGGTGCTAGTAAACTCAAGGCCTTGTACATGCTGGGCAAATACTTTAACACTGTTATACAGCCCAGATTCAGAAATTCTTTTTTTGTATGTCTACATACCAGAAGAGGGCGCCAGACCTCATTATAGATGGCTATCAGCCACCATGTGGTTATTGGGAATTCTACTCAGGACCAACAGTGCTCTTAAGCATTGAGCCATCTCTGCAGCCCCTTAAAGTGGTAATTTTAACTTGAAGATTTGAAACAGAAAAAAGTTGTAATTATAATTAGCCTTTGCAATAAAAAATCAGTTGGGAAGATGAGAGTTGACTATGGTGACACTGATTGTAAAATGAGAATCTAAATAATAAAATAAAGGATACCACTCCTCATTTAAAATGTTTGAGAGGCTGAAGCAATGCCCCAGTGGTTATGACTGAAACTTGTTCTTCCAGAACACCAGAATTTAATTCTCAGCACACTAGCAAGCTTACAACCACCTATAAAATCAGCCCCAGGGTCTCCGACACTTTCCCAGGACCTGCATGTAGCTGCCCTACAACACAGAGATACCCATGTAACTAAAGTCTCTTTTTACTTTACATTGTTTTACTCAAAACAATGTGTTTTGAGAATTTCCCTAAAACAGAAAAAACAGCAATAGTTCAGAGACTGACAGCTGAGGGACCTCCATAAGCTACTAATATTTCCAGAGGATGGCAGTTTCACAGCCCACTCTTAGTTTTTCTTTGTATCATTCACAATACAAGCCATAATCTTCAAAAACTGCCTAGCCTTTAGCAGGAGAAAGAAAAAAAAAAAAAAATCAAGTACATCACTGTTTAAAGAACCGTAAACAAAATCCTAGATGTTATTCATGTTGTTAAAGGCTGACAAATACTATATTAAACCAGCTCCAAATTAAAAGTTTATAAAAACAGGGCTGGGAATATAGCTCAGTAGTAGAGTACAGTGTCTAGCATGCATGATGTCCTGCATTTGTTGCCAATATCACCAAAAAAAAAAGTTTGTAGCAATAGCAATAGAAGTAACTAATTGTTCTTTTAAACCCCTTTAAATCTGTTAAGCCCTTAGCTCTTTAGCCACCATCTGCACGACTGTTGCTTCCCTAGGTCAGGTGCCTCTATATTTAAGTGAAAAGACATTTTTACTTCAATTTTATAGCATTTATATTATGCATTAGAATGTAAGCTGCCTATAAGGTCAGAAATAGTATCTAATCAATAGGAATGTTAATAGTGATCTGAGCCTTTTTTTTTTTTTTTAATAATGTTAGAAGAAATGAAGAGCCCATCAGGAAATATACTATGACAATATTCAGATTCATAATGAGCCAAGTTGTGGCATGTAGAGACTATGTCTTTACCAGTATGGAATTCCAGAAAAGTAATAATTGGGCAACAGTACAGGAGACAAGTCACTGAAAAAATGAATGCATAGAAGCCTTTACAACCTTAACCCACACCTACAGAGAGCTGTGAAGTCATACAAAAATTACACCAAGAAAAACAAACGTGTTTCTCAAAGTACTTCAACAATGTCAAATTAAACAATAAAATACAGAATAGTTCTTTACACAAAATGATTTTTAAGCAATATACATACATTCAAACCAGATTTAAGATCATTAGATATTTGATATGTAGGACATAAAACTACAAGGAAAAAAAAAGATTTTAGGACTAAGTTTGCTAACATTAAAAAGCTCTAGCATTATTAAATCTTCAAAGCTCTATTTTATATCTCTCCAATAAGCTAGGGAGAGGCTAAGGACATGATTCAGTGGGTAAACCATTTACCATGCAAGCTTAAAGACCTGGGTTTAGATCCTCAAAACTCACATAAAGCTGGTCATAGCGCATATCAATAAACCAAGCACTCAGACAGCAAAATGGAAGCAGAAGTGAAAAAAAGACCCGGTCTCAAAGAAGAAAGGTTGTCCTCTGACCTCCATAAAGCTCTGGAAGCATTCACATTCACAAACATAGACACTCAAAGATTTGGGGAGTGGGGGTAGGGTGATAATGTGTCTGACAATCCATATAGACCCAATAGCTTAACTTTTAAGGTATAAGAAGTATTCAAACAATAAAAGTATCAATGGCAAAAATGAAGCAATGTCTTCAAGCTTCCTTAAGGGCGCCCAAAACTATGCTAAGAGGAAAAAAAATCACTTTGATATAAAGATAGCATCTCAAAAATAAACTCCCCCTGAAGGTTGAAGAAGCAGCTTGCCTCTTAAGAGGCTAATCTTGCAGGGGACCCAGAGTTCACTTCCTACCATACAAACATGACAGTTCAGGAGAGCTTGTAACACCAGCCTCCAAGGTGCAATACCCTCCATGGGTACTAGATTCATAAGGTACATACTCACAGACACACGAGTAAAAAATTATAAAATTCTAAAGATGCTACTGCAAGCAGAATAGTCTTAACAAGAGAACAAAAAGCAAACCCCAAGACAACTATACAGGCAATGTAGGAGAAGGACAAATCCAAAAGAGATGTCTTTACTGACAGAATTTTAATGCCTGAACATACTGAGGGATAATGACAAAAAAATAGAATAAAACCATGAAAGAGAGTAGATTATATGACTTATACATATAACATATATACCAAATGTTGATTTACCAAGTGAGAAAATTACACTGGAAGGGAGGCGCAAAAAGAACTAAAATTTTCCTTATTAAGGAAAAGCCAACAAATATCTACTTAATAAAAATGTCGGAGTTAGGCTAGTCTGAATGTGTGTAAGATGTGAGTACATGCACATGTGAGTCATGGTAAGCACGTGGTCAGAACACAGCCTTCAGAGGTCAGTTCTCCTCCCTGCACGGTCTGCAAAGATTGCTCTCTGCTCATTAGCTATGTGACAAGCAACTCGGCCAGCCCAAATGCAAAGAAAAAAATTAAGTACATTTAAAATATACTGTTTACAAAAACAGAAGTGAAGCTAGGTGTAGAGGCGCATACAGACCTTTCACCCCAGCACTAGGGAGGCAGAAGCAGGCATAACTCTGTGAGTTTGAGGCCAGCCTGGACTACACAGTGAGTTCCAGGACAGCCAGAGCTACAAAGTGAGAACCTGTGTCAGGGGGAAAAGGAAAAAAAAAAAAAAAACAGTGAAAACTAAAAGACAATGTCAGAAGATAAATGTGATAGGTTTAAAAAACAAAAATAGGGAATAGAAAAAGCTGCCAGCTTTTATATTAATATAAGTTGTTTCACTTAACCAGCATACAGAAAAAAATAAATTATTAAAAAAACAATCCTACAAGTAGCCAGGCAGAAATGCACAATGCAAACCAAGAAAACATCAGCACTGGAAGTTGACAGGAAGATTAAAAGTTTGAGGCTGTCAAGAACACAGTAATTAAAAAAAAGAGAGAAAGAAAAAAAAATGACCACAGTTATCAGTTATCCCTTTATACATTTTGTTCTAAAATATAACTTGGTTGCTACTCCTTTTATCAAGAGATGAAATCTATTTACCACCACCCACACAGAAAATTTTAGAATTTTGTATAGGTCAAATGACTACTTTGACTAACAAGCAATACTTTTTGAGTTCTAGGTATAATCCTTAAGAAGCCATGTGTGTTGGTTACTTTTGTGTTGTGATAAAATACCATTACCATTCCATATTCCTCTATTGAGAATTCTGTTTAGCTCTGTTCCCCATTTTTTAATTGGATTACTTGGTTTGTTGCTTTTCAGCTTCTTTAGTTCTTTATATACACTGGATATTAGCCCTCTGTCAGATAAAGGGTTGGTGAAGATTCTATCAAGGCAGATGCTGAGACTTATGGTCATGAAGGGGGAGCAGCCTTACCAGGCCACAGAAGATGACAATGCAGCCACTCTTGATGAGATTTGATAGAATAAGATCAGAAGGAAGGAGAGGGGGACCTCCCCTATCAGTAGACTTGGGGAGGGGCATGAGTGAAGAAGGGAGAGGGAAAGTGGGATTAGGAGGGGAGGGGGGGTTATGGGGAGATACAAAGTGAATAAAGTGTAACTAATAAAAGTTAAACAAAATACCATTACCAAGGCAACTTATAGAAGAGAGTTTATTTTGGCTTACAGTTCCAGGGGGTTAGAGTCCATAATAATGAGGACAGCACAGCAGCCAGAGCAGGAAGCTAAGAAGAGAATCATCTTTAACAGCAGGCATGAAATAGAAAGAACCAATGGAAACTGAGGCAGACTTTCGACTCTCAAAGCCACACCCCGCCACCACCACCACCCACACACACACACACACACACACACACACACACACACACACACACACACACACACGGTAACATGTCCTTCAGAAAGACTGCCTAATCTCTCCAACAGTGCTGCCAACTAGGCTCCAGGTATTCATTTCAAATGCCTGAACTCATGCAGACATTTTCACTCCCAACTGCCACACCTAGCAACTAGATGCTAGCTGGGCTAACCAGATTTTTAAAAACAGCACATTATGCTGTTTTTAATGCCAGACATTAATAAAAATGTCTTCTTAGACAAAGCTAGCCAAACTTTCAAATGTTGGTTATGCAAAGCAAATAGCCAGATACACACAAAGCAAAAAGAAATGTTGCTAAAAGACAATATACAAAATGTCCCTAAGTTCTAAAACAAAAAAGGTATTACCCCAGAATTGTTAGATTTATTCATAAAAGCATTAGCAAAAATTATGATTAAAAAATAAGGAAGGTATCATTAAGTAAAAAGAATGACTAGAACATGAAGATTCCACTAAAAGGAAAAGTGCTAACCAAGCACAGCAGTACAGGCCTAGCATGTATCAGCCCAGGGGCTCCAGAAGCAACAATAGGAGGTAGGAGGACCATTTGAACATCACTGAGGATCATTTCCAGCCAGGGGAAACATAGCCAGATCCCATGCAAAAAAACAGAAAAGAAAGAAAAAAGAAAAGGCAGAGTGAAATAAATGGAGAAAAGTAGAAAACAAATTATTACAATTAAGTAAATAAATGACTAGCTATCTATGTTGGCAGCCCCAAGGCTGGCTGCCAATAATCTCTAGCCCCTTGAGAACGTTCCTAATGTGAATTAGACATAGCGGCTCCCTTCTGCCACACAAAATGCAGAAAGGATAACTTGTTTGAAGTACTCCTCGGCGTTCTCACTACCAAGGTCTGTTTGGTCTGGTGAGGAACTAGTACACTTCAATCTAATGTTCAACAAGGAATGGAAACCAGCAAACAAGTGTAAAAACACTTCAGGCCCAGTCAAGTCCACAACTGTGTCAGCATGAAGAGTCTGAGAACCTCAAACACCCAGCAAAGCCACTGCTACATCATCCCTCCAGTGGGGCAAATCATTATGAAGCAATATCCTAACCAAGAGAGGAAGGGAGCAACATTGTACTGAGGAGAACAAAAATAAAAAGAACAAAAAGAGAAAAGTGTAAGCCAAAAGTGTACATAGTATCTTTGCATAGCTCTACACTATTATATCTGACAATTTGCAACAAATCAAGTGTCCAAAGTATTGAAAAAAATCAGTTCAAGTTACTAAAACTGACCCAGGAAAATAGAGCAAACTTTGTGGAAATTTTTTTCAAGTTAAAAAAATACTATCTTGGGCAGGGGGATGGGGGGCTCAGAGCAAGCTTTTATGATGAATTCTTTCAAATGGTCATGAAACAATTTCTTGTTCATCTGTCCTAGAATAAAACTATGAGTATGCAAACTTAAGACAGTACAGTAGGATCCCAAAGCCCTGCAGAGATAGTACAAACTAAAAATAGGCCAATTTAAAAAAAAAAAAAATGGATACTTTATAGAATCCTAAGCACTGTATTAGCAAAAATGAATAGTGTACATTAAAGGAATGCCCAACCATGACTAGGCTGGGCTTGTAGGTCAGTGATAGAGCAAGGGTCTAGACTCACTCTCCAGTACAAGTAAGTGTGAATCTTGTTAATTCAATAACAGGAAACCTAAATAATTCAGTGAAGTAAATGGAGGGTGAAAAAAGTTGTAATCACATTAGATTTGAAAAAATTTCAAATAGCAAACTAGAAACAGAAAGCAGAATGTTGGATGCTGCAGCCTGAGGTAAGAGAACGCAACTACTGTTTAATAAGTACAGAAAGAATTTGGCAAGATAAAAAGATCTTGAAGTTGTCCTGATGATTACAAAACGTGAATATATGTACTGGCACTGAATTGTACACATTTTAAAAAGGATTTAAATAGTAAATGAATGCAACATATAATACAATAAAAAACAAGAGAAGGTTTTTAAACTATTTTCTTTCTTCTGTCAGATAAATTTTAAATCAAACTGTATTAATTATGCTTTTAAAAAGTAACAAAAAAATAAAAGCCATGTAAAATGTATTTTCCTCCAATGAGTACTAAAATCTGAAGTAAAAACCTATACTTTAGTCAAGATCCCAATTAACTTTAAGTTATCAAACAACAGTTTGTTTTTTAATACTGGGATGAAACACAAGGCTAAATTACCTATTTGTAAATCATTTCTTCTAAATTTCTCATTTTTTTTAAGACTGAATTTCTACAGTGTCTACTAGGATACTAGATATAAGCAATATTAAATATACAACTCCTAATCCCATGGTTTTAAATTTTAATTCATAACAGTTAACTGCTCTTCAACTTTGAACATGAATAAAATTCTACTTTTTAGTTGTTTCATTTTTGAACACGGTCTCGTGTGATCTAAGCTGTCCTCAAACTGCACATGTAGGAAAGGTGACTCTGAATTCCTGGTGCTACTGCCTCTACCTGAGTGCTAAGATTACCAGCCAGGTGCCATCACACGGGGATAAATGATAGTTTACAATCTCAGGAAATTATGTTTCCCAACTACAGGCTCCAGGACTTGCAACAGGACTTCTGGCGAGTCAGTGGGAAGTCTGGGGAAAATGGGTGGTGCTGTACCAATTCTGGGCTTCATAGCCATGTGGCCCTAATTGATAAAACATCTACTGTGTGAAATTACAGAGGAATGAAGGAAGGAGAAGGAAGGAAAGGAGGGAGGGAGGAAGGGAGATTTACTATGCTTATGCTACTTATATATTACTATAAGGCAAAATTTTAAAATAAACCATTGTCAGTCAATATATACATATATGAAATCTTGTATTGAGACCTATTTTATATAATATATGCTAATTTTAAGTCTAAAACAATTTAAAATATTTTCATGTATGAATATACAATTAAACTTTTTTTTTTTTTTTTTGGCTTTTCGAGATAGGGTTTCTCTGTGTAGCCCTGGCAGTCCTGGACACAATTATACTTTTTTTTAAAAATGCTATAGCAATATCTAATTTTAAGTGTTCACTCATTTGTTCTGTTTCATTTTAATATCAACCTGTTCCACCAAATTATAAATGAAGCTATTAATGTTAACTTAATCAAGAATTGACATAAATTATAGCTGTAACCGATTTTTTAAAAATACTTCTCAAGGTGAAAATACATTTGATGGAAAACATTCAGCAACATACTTGCTGAAAGGCAATGTCAAAATACACGTTATCTAAAATCAAAATTTTACTTTACCAGGTTAAATTACAGTAACTTAGGTAACTCAAATTGAATGTAGATCACTGTTAATACTGGGCGAAAAATAAAAGTAACTTGAATAATAAATCCAGTCTGCAACTGTATAATACATTTGTGTGTATGCCTTCAGATGTACACGTATCCTTGTAAAGTATCTGCTAGATACAGGCAAAACTTTACCCAGGCAGTGGTTCTAATCCCAGCACTCCGGGAGGCAGAGACAGGGGTATCTCTGAGTTAGAGATCAGCCTCATCTACAGAGCAAGTTCCAGGACAGCCAGCGCTACAAAAAGCTTTTAAATGAGCTATTTCTCACTTTATGCTTCCTCCATAAGACGGTTAAAATTGTATACACCATCAATATACATCTTTTTAAAAGAGATTTTAAATATTATATCCTGGCCCAGAGATAACGCACGGTAATGTGCCGAATGAATGTTCTTCACAGACACTCATTTCCCAGCGCTTACCCGCTCTATTGATCTGCTGATCTGGATACCGAATATACTTTATCTTCTCCAACTTTCCCAGGATCTTTCGTTATTCTAAAATTAAAACAATTTAATATTTCAGTTTTGTTTTTTTAAAGGGGGAAGGTTGGGAGGGGAGAGAAGAAAACTACATAGAAATGGTTGTTTACTAACTCTCCTGCTTATCTACCTTATAGCCCACTAGTTAGCTGGTTGAGTTGGGTTGTTTTTTAAGAAAGTAGTGAGACAAACAGCTACTCCAGCCTACAGTAAATATTTCATCAAGCATCTGTGTAACGGATATAATGGTGGGAACGAAACACTCATCGTTTGGCTTGGTGGTTTTCTGTTGCTGGGTTTTCTGTTTTGTTGAAATCAGGTCCCATAGTGCAGCCCTCGCTGACGGCTGACGACCTGGACCTCCGGGAGACCCTGCCTCGGTCTCCCGGTGCTGGCATTACAGGTGCGCACCACCACGCCCGCTGCACAGTTCCGACCGCTCACACCCGGCAAGCCGCCGGGAACCACCGCGGCCGTTTACCTCACCAGCTGGAACCGACTGCCCTAACCCGCGTGGCCCTGCGGGGTCGGCCGGGCTCCCCCCGGGCCCGGCCTGCAGCCCGCGCGCCGGAGCCCGGCCGGCCCCGCCTCAGCCCGGGCCCGGGCGGCTCGGGGCCGCCGAGGGTACTCACCGCGAGGACGGCGCCGGCGCGGACGGCGAGCTCGGGGGCAGGCGGGCGCCGACTCTGCGGGCCGCTCGCTCGCCCGGCGTCTTCAGGTGCCCTGAGGGGGCGGAGCCCGCGGAGCCTCGCGGCGCCGCGGCAGCGGGCGAGCAACTTTCAAGCGCGCCGCCTCCGCCAGTGAGAGGGCGCGGGCGGCCTTCGAAAGTCAACGGCC